CCCTGTTGCTCAGCTCCCCTGTGCCCTGACAGCCCTGTTTGTTTCTCTTGCAGAGAGCAGCCAATCTTCAGCACCAGGGCCCACGTCTTCCAGATTGACCCTGCCACCAAACGGAACTGGATCCCTGCCAGCAAACATGCTCTCACTGTCTCCTACTTCTACGATGCCACACGCAACGTGTACCGGATCATCAGCGTGGGGGGCACCAAGGTGGGGGCAGCAGCACACAGTGTCCCAGCAGGCTCTTCTCCAGCCTGTTCTGGTGATGGGGTGGTGTCAAGTTGGTCAGTTCTCAGCATAGGCCCTCGAGGATCTCCTCTGCAGGGAATGGAAGGTTAAACACTGCTGCCACACTCAAGTGTATTTAGGGTTAGACACGAGAATCTGTGCTGGTGGGTCTGATGTTGTCTCTCCCAGCTCCAGTCTCTTCTCGCCCCTGGCACATGCAAAGCACAAGCTTTCCCTGAGACCCTTTGTCCTGTGCTAAACCCAACCCCTGTAGCAATAATGAAATGACAGAGGTTGAGGGCATCTCAGGAGTTGTCTGTGCAGTCACTTCCACAAAACACGAGTAACTCTCCATAAACTGGTCTTGACAGGTGTTTTCCTGACCTCCTCCTGCAGGCCTGCAGTTGGCAGGGCCTCAGCAATCTTCCCAGACAACTTACTCTGGTGCTGCCCTAACCAGCAGTGTTTCATAACAGCCACTCCTGACTGCCATGGAAGCCTTTTGCTTTACTTGCCACGCAAATGGAGAACATCAGGGAGTTGTGGAGTCCCCAGGGACACCCTGTCTCTTGTCTTCTTTTCCAGCAATGGAGAAAGCTGATGACACTGAGACTTTTTTTCCTTTTTCTAGATGAGATGACTGAGGTTTGTCCATGTCGTGTAGCCACACTAGAAAGACTTTTGGTCACCAAAAGCCTGAACTGTTGTTTAATAGATTAAAAGCCAGAGCTTTCCCCCCTAGTTCCTAGAGCACACAGGGATGACAGTGATCACTCCCACCCCACCACCTCAGGGCAGTAGGCTGGAGTTTTCTCTGACCCTCATTGTTGCTTCTCTCTCCAGGCAATCATCAACAGCACCATCACCCCCAACATGACCTTCACGAAGACATCCCAGAAGTTTGGCCAGTGGGCAGACAGCCGAGCCAACACCGTGTACGGGCTGGGCTTTGCTTCCGAGCAGCACCTCTCCCAGGTAATGCTGCCGGTGCTGCAGAAAGCTGGTGCCAGCAGGGGGAGTGTCCCTGGAGCCCTGAAGGGGACATAAGGCTCTGGAGAACAGGCTTTAGGAGCCTGCTGTGATGCTGTTCCTAGCATCTTTGCATCTTGCATCAGCTTTTAACACAGTGGGAAGAGCTTTAAAGTTTGTGGAGTGGTTTTGAACATCACAAATCAAATTAGGACTTGAGGCTCAATTTCTGTCACTGCTGTTTAGCCGAGCCCACTGAGTGCCAGAACCATGGCCAGGAAGGGGCTAGTCACTGAATTGTATTGTTAGTTGAAGATAAATGTAAAAGCATGTTGGATGGAGCTGCAAAGGCAGGAGGACCTGGCCTCGGTTCTGGTGAGTTCCACGTGGTGGTGGAGCAGTGGAGTGACTCTTCCCTTCCCCTCTAGTTTGCAGAGAAGTTCCAGGAAGTGAAGGAAGCCGCTCGTTTGGCGAGGGAGAAGTCCCAGGATAAAACAGAGCTGACCAACCCTGCCCTGAACATCACATCTCACCAGGTAATGCTGAGTGATGGCAGCCAGGGGAAACGGCCGCCGTGCTTCTCTCCTCTAGGAGCTTCTGGCTTCCACCCCTTTCTGAGAGCTTCCTTGCCAGACACTGAGGGGGGAGCCTCACACTTTGATGGCACTTGTGGCCCTGTGGTCACTGCTGGAGCTCATAAAGCAGATTAAGAAATGAGTGCTTAAGTGGAGCTCCTGGGAAGGTTCGCACCCCTCTCTCTTTGGCACTGAAACTATGGAAACGGTTTGATGTCTGTTGAAGCCATGCTGGGCTGGGGGTTCCTGCTGTGCTGGCTGGGATTTTTTAGTTTGGTGGGGTTTGTTGTGGTTCTTTTTCTTTTACTCTTTCATTTAGAGCTGCTGGCTCTCCCTGGGCTCAGGGTGACAGCAGCAGGCAAGTGGCATGCAGGACTGCATGTTGCCTGCTTGAAGATCCTAGGAAGGAGGACACATGGCACTTTGATCTATTCTTCTGGGGCTGCTGGGGGTTCTCCTCCAAGTGTCTCTGACAGGAGGTGGTGCTGCCCAGGGCGTCCATGGAAAGACAGAGTGATCTCTTAGGGCTGGTGACTGAGGAGTGCTGGCCAGACGTCTGGTTCTGTGTGTGCTGTGGAGGAGAAGCTGTGCTGTGAGAGCAGGAATCACACTCCTCTTGGGAACTCTCCCCTAAGGCAGCACTGCTGCCTGACAGCCACTCATTCCATTCTCTTTTCCCCAGGAGGCCAAGGCAGAAAGCTTAAGCCCATCACAGATGGTTCTCACGTGCGTTGCACTTGGTACCTTTCTCCCTGTGTAGCTGAACCACCTCCAGCAGCAGTGGGATGGAGGGAGGGGATGGGCTGTGCAGAACTCTACCCTGCTTTTTCCCATGGTGAAGCAGTGCAGTGCTGATAGTGAACTTGCCCTCCAGAATGGTTCTCTCCAGAGGTGATTCTGCATTTCCCAGCACTGCTGGCAGTAGGAGAGGAGCTGTAGGTTGGAGGACACTGTGTTCTCTGGGTTGAGTACAGATGGAGTGGCAGCAGAGGAGGAGGAGGGAGTGCGAACAGTACCTTGGCCTGCAGGGAAAGGAGGGGGAGGTGGAGGTGGTGGCTCTGCAGAGACTGGAAATGTAGTGGAGGGTGCAAATATGGGTTTGGCTCCTGTAACTCTAAGCCCCATCTTAATAGGTGGGTCATTAGGCCTACTGGTGGGCGGGTTAATGGCCAAAGACTCTGGTCAGTAATAATTAGCCAAGATGCAGATTCCTGGCCAGCTGCGGTGTCATCTCCCAGCTCCCCTGGCCAGGAGGTGGAGCCTGGGAGTAGAGATCCTCCCTCTTAAACCATTTACACCAGCAGAGCTCATCAGGTGCCACAACAGGACACGTTCCTCTCCTCTGGGCTGCGATGGCAACTTGCAGCAGAAGGGATGAGGTCAGGTGAAGGTGCCCTTCACCTCACTCTTCCCATGCAGCCTGTCTCATGTCGCAGTGGCCAGCACACTGAGCCAGTGGCCATGCAGTGTCCCTTGCCATGGGGGTGTGCAGATCTTGTCCTGCAATTCCTGCCTTCTCCAGCCTGTACATAAATCAGCACCTCATCCCTTCTCCAACCTTCCCACTGATTCCCAGCCTCTGCATTAGTAGAGCTTCAAATCTGAGTTTCATCCTTGAATAATTGATTGTGTTTCTGTTTGCAAGTGAGCAAAGAGCAGATCTGTCTCCTGAAATTAAATCAAGGCTTCCTCCTTTCCTGCATCTGCACTAGTTTACTCAGGCTTTAGATTTTCAGAGCTGGGCAAACCCCAGGACAGAAGCTCTCTTCTGTCCTCTAGTAGCTTTTAGGCCAAGCCCCATCCCGTTTAGCATCCCCAGCACAGAGTATGTCACTGTGGAAACATAAGCAACAAAACTGTGCAGCATCTTCGGCTGGACTCACAGGGGTTCAACACACAAGAAGAGGAAACTTCTGCCCCTCCCCTGCCTCAGTTTCCCCACTGTGTGGTAAAGATGAGGCAGGGTTGTGTTTTCCAGGTCTCACTTCTCAGTCACTCTCTGGAAGGCTTCATGAAGCTGGTGTTTAAGACATGTCATGGCCAGGTCTGGCTCTATTTATAGGTGTCAGCCAACTCCAAAGCAGGTGCCTGTCTCTACCACAGACATTTGAGGGCTACCTATGAACCCCAGCAGCAGCCTGGGCTCACAGCTCCCTGCTTCAGGGCCCAGAGACTCGTTGCTCAGAGAGTCTTTTTATAGCTCAGTTTGCCCTGTCAGTGCCAAGCTGTTCCCCTGCTGTGAGAGGAGGTCATGTAGGAAGGGTCTTCTGGAGGGGCTGGAGGATGTGAGGCTTCTGCATACTCATCTCTGCTCTGCTGGCAGTTGTTTGTCTCTGCTAGCTCTGAGGTGTGCAAGAATCTGGAGCCACAGACAAGGATATACTTTGGTGCAGAGACTGTGAGATTGTTCTCCCACACCTTTGGAAAATGGGTGCCAGAGTCACCTGAGCAATAGCAGAGTTTGCTTCCCTTGAGCCTGAGACACACCACCCCAATGGCACCTGGTGTCTTAACTCAAGGTCCAGAAGCTGGGCTTGACTGAACCCAGGTCTGGCGAGTCTGTGTTTAGTTTAAATCTTTGCACTGCTCTAAGAACCAGCAAGAAAATCCTCTTGAGAATTCAGCAAAGCCCCAGAACAGGCACTTGAGCAGCTCCAGTGTGTGCAGGGCCACGGGGCAGGGCTCCAGGCAGTGCCACCCTGGCATTGCCATGGGGAAGCTGAGGGCCACAGAATTCAGTCCCTCAGGTTGGGAGGGGGAAGAGCTGGTGCCTGCAGGCTGTGAGCCCTCCTGCTCAGCCTGTCTGTGTGCTGGGATCGCTGCCCCAGCGTGGCATGGACACAGGGAAAGGGAGGACCTGGCAGCAGGGCCCTTGCTGGAAGAGCAGAGCACTGACCTACCTGTCCAAGAGAGAGCCCTGGGCCGTGACTGGTGCTGCTGAGCCATACCTGAGGATCTTTGTCACCCCTTGGCGTGGACACAAGCACGGCGCCACCTGAGAGTTAGGACTGAAAGCCAGTGTTCCCCACAGGAGCGCGGGGGCTCAGAACTAGCTCTGTGAACCTGGGCTGGGAGTGAGTTTGCAGAGACCTGTGGGTCTCACTGCTGTGTGGTAACCACTCTTCCTCATCCCCAGGTACTTCCCAGCCCCATCATCAGCTCCAATGGGCCAGGAGAAGATAAACTATTCCGAAGCCAAAGTGCCGATGTGGAGGTAACAACGGAGAAGGAGCGGCTGAAGAAGATGCTCTCTGAAGGGTGAGGCTGCCGCAAGTGCTCCCTGCTCCTCACTCCTGAACTGTCTGTTCTGGCAGGATTTGTGCATGTCCCTGTCATCCCAAATGCTTTTGAACCAATGCTGCCACTTCAGGTAGCTGGATAATGCCCCGTGTCTGCTGCTGCTCTAACCCTCCACTGCACCAATTTCCCCTCTTCTCTAGTAGGAAGTTATTCCTGTTGGAGGTGAAATCCGCTGTTCAGGCGGCGAGGGAAGAATGCTTTGTGCCCACAGCAGGGCTGAGTTGATGCCAGTTATCTACAGATCAGTAGTTTGTGATACCAGAAGATATTCACACTTTTCCAGCTGGCCCAGGGCTACGTTTGTGTTAATTCCCCTGATGGTACTAGCCAAGTCTCCACTGCTTCCGCTCTTTGTCTGTTCGAGAGACTGGCTGGATTCTGCCCTGTGGCTCCCCTTTAGCTCCCAGCTGAACACTTAGAGGATTTCTAAATCAAAAGCAAGTGTCCTTTGCTGCCTTCTCCTGAGCCTGGGGTGGGAGGGCTTTAGTCAAAGCAAACTCGGATGTGACAAGGATTTAAACCCCACATTCACAGTCCCACATGACAAAGCTCCTTTACAGCAGCTGTACACACCCCTTAATCTCACAGTGTGGTTTCTGCAGTTGCAAGCCAGCACACAGGGCCTCAAATACAAATATTATCCAGGGGTAAAGAGATGCAGATTCAGGGCTGGAAGAAGCATTTACATTGGGGAAGTGGTATGAAAGCTGAATAGAAAACTCTGGAGGAGCTGGGAGCTGCCCCGCACTTCCAGGAGCTTTGTTTTGGTGCATGTGAGCACAGGGGGAAGAACCCTTCATGCTGAGACTCTCCTGTGCTCTCCTGAACACTTGCTGTGTTCTCTCACACAGTTCTGTGAGTGAGGTCCAGTGGGAGGCCGAGTTCTTCAGCCTCCAGGACAACAACAACAAGCTCGTGGCTGCTCTCCATGAAGCCAACGCCAACGTGGACCAGTGGAAGAAGCAGTTGGCTGCTTACCAGGAGGAGACGGAAACGCTGCGGCAGCGGGTGAGCACCGGAGGGGCTTTTTAGAGCAGGTCAGAGGAAGCCCCGTCCCAGAGCCAGATGGTGCCCTTGACCTCATTCTCTCTTCAGTTTCCATGAGTGTCAGCAGGAGATGGGATGGAAATCCAGGATGCTGCATGAGCCTGGCAGGGAAAACATGTCAAGGAATAAGGCCATGTAACTAGGGAGCTCTCACAAGAGCTCCTGTTTTCTGCAGAGCAAGTTGGGGTTGTGCTGTGTGTGTCCCCATGGGTAATGGGAGGAAACCAGGGCACAAAGTCAAAGCAGACCAGCTTTCCTTCACATTTCCAGGGGGTCGTTCCCAGCTGGTCCATGCCCCCCTTAGCTGGGCATCAACACAATCTTCTGGCTGCTGACAGGAAGGATGAAGGTTGCTCTGTCTGCTATAATTAGCTCAAATCCTAGCTGCAACATCATGAAACCCGGGTGCTCTGGTACAAACAGGCCCTTGTTCAGTTGGAATAATAGGATCTTTTGACCTGTACAATGTCAGAGAGGTCCCAGATCAACTGTGTGCAGGCCTGTGTGCATCTGGGCAGAGGAGTGACAGTCACATGGCTGAGTTCGTTGGGAAAAACTGGAGAACTTGGGAAAGGGCTTTAGGACAGTTGGGGTTTGGCTGGGAAAGGAGGCATGAAGCCATTTCACTTTGAGATAGCTCATTCAAAACCAGCAAGGACTTACAGCCGTTGAGAGCTGTTTCCACTCGATGGCTGTCGTGTGGCCAGGCCCCAGGAAACAGCCACCCCCCAGGATTCACTGTGCCCACTGGTGGTTCTTAGTGTTGGAGTCATACAGGAGAAGAGCTACAGAGAACAGATGTTCTGCTCTGCAGCAGGAGCCTGCGTGAGGTGTAGCAGACACCTTGGTTGTGTGTATGCATTTTAAACATGAATCCTCTTCATGAATCAGCTCAGCCACTGGGCTGAATTCTTCAGGAATGGGCAAATCCTTCCTCCCAGCTCCGCTGGGGTTGAGCTGCAGCAACTCCCTTGCCCTTGGCAAGCTCTGCCCACTTTGGGTTGCAGGTTCTTGTGCTTGATGTTAGCCAGGTGAACGTTGCTGGAAGTGCAAAGCTGCAGGAGAAAGCAGAGACAGTCTCTGGGATGAGCTTTGCCACGGGGGGGTTTCTCTGTGTGATCTGGGCAGAGCAGAAGAAGATCATTTTCTCCTCCCCAGGGTGGGAGCTGCTGCCCTGTTGTAACCTGGTTGGGTTTGCAAGGAAGCCAGAACATGACGGAGAGTGACTGAGGGTGATGGGGTGTCAGGACATTCCTCTATCTCTGAGCATGCTTCCCCTGTGCTTGCTTCCATGTAGGTGGCAGAACTGGAGTCACAGGGCACTCAGGATTCCTCCAGCGAGAACAACAAGGAAGAGCTGAGCCAAACCCTGGAGGAGCTGGAACTACTGATCAAGGCTAAAGATGAGGTAATACCCCACAAAGCGAGCAAAGCCTGGAGCTGGGAGGCCCATCAGTCACCAGCACCCTGTTTGTCAGTACAGCTTGAGTGAGAGGGGAGGGAAGGGACTTGGCTGGGTAAGTGCTGGGAGCTGGCCCCACTGGGACAGGGGTGGGTCTGACAGCTCTTCCTCGTGTTTTAGGAGATCCAGATGCTAAAAAGCCAGAAGTGTGGCCGATGGGAAGCAGAGGGCGAGCGTGAGGAGACGCTGCAGAAGCTGCAGGTAGGGATGGCAGATCTGGGACACCTCTGCACTTGTAGCAGAGTGATCTGTCCCCATTTTTCTACTGAGCCAAAGAGGAACGCTGTAGAGCTGCTGTGCCTATGGTCTGCCTCTGGATGATGGGACTGGGTCCTTGCCAGTGTCTCTGCCTTCTTCCACCCTCTCTGTGTCCCTCAGATAATCACATGGGGCACAATCAGCAGGCAACAGCAAACCCAGCCTTCAGCTACTCTCCTTTTAGCTCTTGCAGTAGCCCCTGACATGGGACTGGAGCAGAATCTGTGATGTCCTGTGACCCTCCATCTCTCTGAAGTCCTTCTTAGCTTGCTGGATGGCCAGGGCTGGCTGGGGAGCAGAGCTCTGGCTCAGCCTGGCTGGCAGGAGGGATGCAAGCTGCTCTGCACCTCAGGGCAAGGACACAGATGGAAGCAGGATCTGTTGTGTGGTCTCTGGGGGCACTGCCTGCCTGTGTTCACCTCTGAGCTACGGGACAAGGAGATCTGCTGCAGGGCCCAGCCCCTTGCACAGGCATTGGTTTTCATGGCAGAACGGTGTCTCCAGATATCAAATGCTGTCAGGCCTGGAGATGAAGGGCTTGTGAGAGCTGCTTTGCAAACTGTGGGCACATGCCTGGGTTTGGGGAACACGTGCTCACGTGCGTGTGCCTGCCCAGTGCTGTGGCCTGGGACAGGAGATCCCTTGGTGAAAGAGCTGGTGGGGCCCCAGACTTCTGGGTGCGGGAAGCCTGGTGCTGGGGTGGCAGCACGGCTCTTGGGTGCAGGTAAGGGTGGGGGGTGAGCAGCCCCCTCACTGTACCCATGTCCCTGGGCAGGAGCTGGAGGCCCGAAACGCAGAGCTGGAGCAGCGCCTTCACCTGGCTGAGCAGACACTGGCAGAGACCCTGGCCGAGAGGGAGAAGATCCAGAATGAGGTCACCAAGGTGGCAGAGATCATGGATGTGAAGATATTTGAACTCAGTGAGATCCGGCAGGGACTGGCCAAGCTGGTGGAGAGCAATTGAGCAGCAGCACACTCAGAGGAGACACCTCCAGAGGAGGGGAGCCTGAGCTGGGACAGTCACAGAACATCGAGGTCTGCTGGGGCTGGACATGCCAACATACCAGCAGCTGCCTGGACAGTGTGGAGACCAGCCACAGCCACCTACTGCCCACTGAACACCCAGACAGAGGGCAGAGAGCACCTGAGCTCCTGAATCCTCCTCAGGGAGCATCGACAAGTCACAGCCAGACCTCTCTGGACCCTGCCATGGCTGTGGCATGGCCCAGAGACAGCGGCTGCCCCCGGGCTGCCCCCCCAGCCCCCTGCTGCCACACTGTGTCTCCCACAGTTGGGAGGTTTCTGGGGGAAGGGGCTGAGCAGCCTGGGCAGGTTTTCAGTAGTTTGTTTTTAGGAAACCACTTGCCTTTTGCAAATAAGCTGCCAGGTGTTTCCCACCTGGGCAGGGAGCAGCAGTTCTGGCACACCAAGAGCAATAGTTGCTCCTTTTCCTCTTCCCCAGCCCTAACTACATCATGTCTTTTCAACAGGATCCAGTAACACTGCCAGAGGTAGCAGTGTCCCCACTGCAGAGAAGGGTCCTTGCCTGACCAGGTGTCCTTTTGACTGTTCACTCACGTCCTCCAGAGGAGAAAGAACTGCAGGTTTTAAAGCTCTTACTAGTTCACCACAGTGGGATTTAATGACTTGTTAAAACTTTAAGCTGAGAAGAGCAGAGGCTTGGTTGGGAAAGGGGCATTTGAGAAATGGGACATCCCTGAGGGGATGGCCAACAAACTGCTCTGCTGGCATCAGTCCCGGCCTCCCAGGGCTGCACTTAATTGAAATTAAATGGAGCAAGTCACAGCTGCTCTTGGCTGCTTTTTCCCCCCCCCCTTCTTTTCCATTGGGAAACAGTCCCCAGGGTCAGCCCCCAGCGCTCCCTGTGAAGGGTCCGGGTGCCAGCTTGCCACACTTGGCCACATGGAAGGAGAACAGGAGGCGTTGGGAGCATGCTGGGACCGGTGCCCTGAGGAGCCTGTGGGAAGTTTGTGAGTTACCACAGATGTTTTCTAGTCATAGGAGTTGAGCAAGGAAGAGTTATGCCCCCCCCCGCCCCGGCACCTGCTATGCCCCCACAGTTACCCAGGAGCATGTTAGGCCTGTGCTGAATGATGAAGCAGTGTCTGTGTAGGAATAGTTAGAAACCTCCCAGGAGTGTTGATGGATTTGGATTGTGGTGTTGGGTTTTTTGCCCTCTTTGGCACTGTAAGTTAGGCAAAGGCAGAGTAATCCTGGGAATGTCTCACAGGTCTGCAGAAGCTCTGGTCCTGGCAAGCACTGCCTGCCAGTGCTGCCCCCCCCCAGTACACCCCGCTGAACCTCAGCAGAGCTCGGGGACTGCCTCTCCTTTCACTCACCTGGTGACCAGGAGAGGAACCCAGAGCTCCCACGCACTGCCTGCAAGTCAGGGCAGGAGCTGGGGCTGGCTCCTTGGGAATCCGCTGCCGTGGAGAGCTGCTGGGGAGTCTGCTGGATTGTGCCCAGGCAAAGCACTTCCCTTTCCCAGGGGTGATGAGGAAACAGCGAGGTTTCCAGACCTGCATGGCCAGGGAAAGGCTTTTCTGGGTTGGGGTTGGGCTTTTTCGTTTGGTTTTCCCTTAATTTTAATGATTTTTGTTTGCATGAAGTGTTCTCAACTGTATGGGCTGGAGCTCCTGTAGTGATACTTGTTTCAGGGTATTTAAGAAGGGAAGGAAGTAACTGGGTGGCAAAAGACTCCAGGGACTTGTTTACCTCCTCGTGCCAGTGTTCATATTCTATTCCTACAGGAGCAGCCTTCTTTTGAAATAGAGATCAGCTCCAAGAAAGGTGTGTTTGGTTTCATTTGTCACTGGGCTATGGAAGGAGGAGGGTGGGATTTGGGAGTATGGGAGAAAGGAAGTTGAGCAGAAGTTCCTTGTGTTCTCTGCTTACTGCCCTCTCATGCTCCTCTCCTGTGGCTGTGACCCACAAGCTGGAGCTGGGTATGGATCCTAAATTCTGGCAGTGACCATTCCATAGCCCAGCAGCTTGGCCAGTGCCTGTGGTGATGTCTCAGTGGTGGGGCTGACCACGCCTGGTGAGTCAGCTCTCCTGAGGCCACCTCAGACCATTCCCAAGCAGTGAGAGGCAGAACCTGAGTCAAGCTGCAGCACATCCCAGCAGGACGCCCTGTCAGTGGAGGAGAGGCAGACACAAACTGTTCTTGTGCTATTTAAGCATTGAAATGTCCTCAGAGCACAACCTACCATCACTGGAGAACTCCAGCTAGGCCCCCAGCAAAGACAGCTGAGTTGAGGTGGAGCGTAGGAAGGTGTGCAAGTCATGCAACAAGTCACACAGAAGGAATCTGGAGCTGATCTCCCACTGCCATCCTGCAGGAAGCTCTCCTGGTTTCACAGTGTTCAACCTCCTCAAGGCAGGTGGAGAGCCAGACTCCATTTAAAAAACACCACGGAAAACCAGCCCAACCAACCAACCAGGCCGTGGAAAAGCGCATGTTCTGGGCTGCTGCTTATGCTCATTTCCCATCTGAAGCCAAAGCCCAGGGCTGTTTGCACACGGGGGCCTGTGGGAGCAGCCTGCCCCCCCCAGCTCCATCTCATGATGGTGAGTGAAACCAGCGTTGAGGGTGTCTGAGTGCCAGGAAGACAGGGGTTGTGCAGGGATCCTGCTCTAGAGCCTCCTCTTGCTGTCCCAAGTGGGGCAAGTGTTACAGCCAGGCAAATACAGTGCAGATTCCTCTTGTGGAATCAGCACTTCTGCAGGAGCAAAGCCCGTGCATTAAACCTGCTGAGCTGCCTGGTGAGTGCACCCCACGGTGCTGCCAGCCCCCGGGGCCTCTGCCACTGGAGCTGGCCTGGCCCTGCGGGATGCTCAGGGCTGTCCCCTGTGCTCTGTGTACCCCGAGGCCACTGGGACTTTGCCTGCGTTGGCAGCAGCTCCTCACAGTCCTGGCTGTGCTCCTTTGCTCTTCCATTGTCAGGAACCAGGAACAGGCAATTTTCCTTCACATTCCTCCCCACAGGGACTCGTGGCAATTCTTTTCCTTGCCAGAATAATCTGAAGAGTGGCTTTTTGATGAGATCTGTCCTGTGCTGAGCCATTTGTTCAAAGTCTCTTACTGAGGCACTGCAGGGCAGTGTGATGGATGGTTCTGGGAGGCACTTTCCATTGCAGTCTTCCCCTCATCTAAACTAATGAAACCCAATTCATCACCAGCTATCTCCACAAATGCCCTAAACCTGCAGTTAGCAATGAGACAGTGCAGCAGCAAAGCACTGATTCCATCTGCCCCACTCCAGTGAGCATTTCGGCTGTGTTCCAGAACAGTAGCACTCCGACACATCACCACCATGCACTTTCCAACCCTCCCTCCTTCCCTGCTTATGCTTCTCTTGCTTCAGAAGGAGAAAATCCTGTGTCACAAAAGCCAGCACTGAGTGGCAAGGCTGCAGCTTGCTTCAGTCTCACAGCAACAGTTATTGTCAGCAACTAAATAGCAGCAGCTGCCTTGCTGGAGGAGAAATGCTGCTGATTGCAGGTGCCTTGAGAGATCTAATTCTTGTGGCAAATTAGGATCTTAATTATTCATAGAAACCCAGACAGAACATTAATAAAGAGAACATGGGGAAATAGCTCACATATGAGAGCAGGATGAAGAAAGGAAGAGATCTTTCAACCTTCCTCTCTTCGTACAACATTCCAACGAACAGCAGCAAGGTGAGATTCTCTGCTCTGGACCCAGGCCCAAGACGAGGTCCTTCTGACCAGCTCAGCAAGAGGAAATGAAGCTTTGCTATTACAGGACATGCCAATAATAGAGCCTCAGAAAAAGGATGTGTCTAATGCAAACACCATCTGACAGATGCCAGTAGAGCCTGGACAGGAATGCAGATGCAGCCCAGAGCTCGAGCTGGAGTGGCAGCCCACCACCAGCTCTGCCACAGCTCACTCTGCAACCTCCTCACCCCGCCGGGCTCTGGTTCTTCCTCCTCCTCCATAAAGCACGTAATTACTCTCCCTGAAGGACTGTTAGACTCCAATTACTCACATCTACAAGTGCCTGGAGAGCCAGGCGAGGAAGAGGTTAGCACAGGCCAGGCTGGTTAATGCTCTAAGTCCTCTGAGTGGTTTTTAAACAAGAGGTAAAAATCTTTCTCTTCCCCAAAAGCCACTGGAGAGCCCCTGGTAACGTGTGGTGGGTTCTTAGGCAGCCTCGCATCAAAGTTACTTAACAGACTGTCTTTGCTGTCTGTGGGTTTGTGAGGACACCCTCTTGCTAAGAGGGAAAGCAACCAGGCACTTTGTTTTAAACCTCCAAAGCATCAAGCTTGGGGGGGAATCAGTGATTAACTAGCACCATTAGTGAACAGGAGGTGAGCTAACCCTTCTGAGCTCCTGCATCTGGCTGCAGGAGCAGCTGCTCAGGGGATGGGTTATTTTTAGTTCAGCAATGGGCTGTTTCCACTCGGCAGCACAGGCTGTGAGTGTCAACCCCCCCCCCCCCATGCCCAGGTGGGAGTTGCCCCCCCCCCCCCGCCATGCACACACTGGAAGACAATTTCCCTGTGCACCACTGAAGGCAATTAGATGTGTGCTTTGGAAAATGTCCATGAACACATAATAAAGTCCCCAAACCCAGCGAGGTTCACAGCTCCCTTTCCCTGAGTAATTCCTGGTTATTATCGTTACTAGATTGTGGTGTGTAAAGGCAGTTTCTGCTCCGGGGGAAAAGAACATGAGCTACAGCACTAATCATCTCTGCACCAGGTCCTGCCTCCTCCAGCAGCTCCCCTTCACCCTACCAAACAAGCAGCAGCTGGAATAATACTGGAAATAAGACATTTGTGTTAAGAGGAAGCAACATTCCAGACACAAGAGATGTGGCAGCTCTAGCAACAGGTAATCCAAAGGGGCACCACTTGCACACTCATGAGCTCACACCTGAAGCACCATTTGCTTCCACTTGGCTCCCTGAGCTCTGTTAAACATCAGCCTGGGAAGGGAGAATCAAAGGTACCAAATTCCACTTCCTCAGCTGCTGCTGTAAACTGCAGTGGTAGGAAGTTGCCAGGTGGAAAGGGGCAGGAGGCTGGTACCACCCCTGTCCCCACAGCATCACCTCTGTCCCCGTGGCGTGCAGGGAGGGGGGCTGCAGTCTGCAGCACCAGCTATTCCAGGGCACGTGGCACCTTTGTAGTTCACTGGGGCTTGTGTAGGCTGCCACAGAAGTGAATTGTCACCCATTTCTCATGTACCCCATCCTGCAGGCTATACACGTGTGACACTGTGCTCCAGGGAGAGCAGGGCAGCTCCTCACCGTGCTGCTAGCTTATTTTCCCCAAGACCTGGTAGAACAAGAAGGATGCTGTGCATAGTCTCTGCCTTCTGTTTCAACCGATGCTGGGCTAACAGGGTTTCAAGTCCCAGCAGGCAGCTCACAGGAAACATTTCACTGTAGCCTTACAGATAGACAGAGATATTGATGTCCAGACCCTGTTATGTGTAGATGCAAACAGTGTCTGGGCCTAGAGATTGGTGGCATGAATGCCACCTCCCCTGTGGTCTCAGTGTGGGAGCAGCACAGCTTGTGGTGTTTGGGCTTGGGAATACAAGAATGATAATGGGAAGAGCTGCGCCGAGTTGAAGGGATGGGGATGAGCCACTGCAACGGGCTGGTGCTGTGCTCACAGCGTCTCTGCCAGGGCAGAGCAGAGTCTGCTGCTCCTTGACAACTGCTCTCCCTCCCAGAAGTGACAGGAATCCAAAGCGAGTCATGCAGGATGTGTTCCCAGGAGACAGCGCTGCTGCAGGGAGTGCATTAAACAGAGCCAGCGGGGAGGTTTCCTTAGCACACGAGAGAAGAAAGAAGAATCCAGGTATTCCTTCCCTCTGTCCCGTTTTTGGGCTCCTGTTGCTGGCAGGGAGGATCTAGGAGTTGTGTCAGGCGTGTCATACCCGGAGTGAAGACACATGTCTGGGCAGCTGCAGTCAAGCCCTAAATGAGGGTGTGCCAGAGACAAGGAGTTTAATCAGCAAAACCTGGCAGGGAAGAGCTTTGAGGTGCAGCAGCGAAGGTGAAGGTTCAACAAAGCAACTGCAGGGAGCTGGGAGGAGAGCCCTGGGACGGGGGCTCAGGGCACTGGCAGAGCCACAGGCAGGAGGGGGAGTTTACAGCTCCAATCCAGGCTGTGACGAGAAGGAAATCCTTCTATTCCCAGAAGATCCCAAAGGTTTATGGCAACGCCTAGAAACCCCACGATGCAATAGCCTGCCTGGGGGGCAGTACTGACAGCAGGTACAGAAACATCCCCCAACAGCCTTTTGCCCTGGGAAAGATGGAAATTCCTCATCTGGGAGTTGAAGGCATTTTTCCACATCCCAGCTAGTGCAGCAACCTCTTTTTCTACTTGGCCACTCCCAAAACTGATTCTCTGAAGCCAGAATGTCTCGTCAGCACTACAGAAAGCGCTTTCCCGCATGTGTCCCTCCCTCCCGGAGAAGGCTGCTCAAAGACAAGAGGTGTTAAAAGGAATTTTGAATAAAGCTTCAAGACAAGAGCCTTGATCAAAGCTCGTGTGTCACATCTGGAAGGAGACAAACGGACAAACCCCCGCCAGGAGGAAGCAGAGGCTCCAGGCAGCAGGTTAACGAGTGTCTGCAGGAGGGAGGGCGCAGGAAGGCAGGAGCAGCCTGGGCCAGGGAGGGTGTCTTTGTTAACCTGCACCTAACAGGCTTGCCCCACACATCAGCATGCACAAGGCTGTGGCACCTTTTAGCATTCACAAAGCATGGGCCTGATACAAACCTATTTGCTGCTGCAGCAGCAGCTGCCACTGGTGACAGGGAGCCGTGCTCTAAGCGGGTGCCTTTCCTGCCCAGAGGGCACCCAGGAAGGACAAAGGAACCCCCCGGGTTCCTCCTGCCCCTCAGGTAGATGGACCCCCAGGAACGCCAGCACCGCACCCTGCGTGGCCTGAAGGCACCAGGAGGCCCTGCAGTGCCCGGCTGCAGGAGTTTCCCCAGGGAAACACCAGCTTTCCTCTGCAGGGCCTCACCGTGCCCGTGCTGGAGCCAGGCGAAGGAGCTGCGCTCAGGTTGCATGAAGGGACTGAGGGATGTAACACCCACAGGAAGCTCAATCCTTACCCCACTCATCTCTTGACATAAACCCCAGGTTCTCTCCATGCCGTTTGCCCACAGCAGGGCTGCTGCCCTCCCCTGAGGTCCCACAGCTCCCCTCTGTGTTCGGGGAAGTCAAACAGCCGCTCACTTGCTGCAATAAGTATTTCTTTGGGCACTGAGCATAGAGACTATTTTTGTAAGCCAGAGACAGGAATAGCAGATCTTCAGTCTCAAGCCAGAGGAAGCTCTAAATGTTAAAGGCGGCACCAAGGATCAAACCTGACATCAGAACAGGGTTGGTCTGAGCTACTCTCAGACTGCAAGTTCTGCCTCCTTAGGGAATCACAACCGTTTCTTAGGAGAGCTCTGCCCCCTCTAGCCCAACCAAGCTCCTGTTCCAAACACGTGATGGAAATTACACAGGGAAACCTACAGAGCAGACCAGAAAAAGGGCCACAAAGATGCTCTGCGGGCTGGAGCCAGGCTGAGAGAGCTGGGCTGGGGCAGCTGGAGAAGAGAAGGCTCCTGAAGCGGAGACCTTAGAGCAGCTCCAGTGCCTAAACGGGCTCCAGGAAACCTGGAGAGGGGCTTTGGACAAGGGATGGAGGGACAGGACAAGGGGAATGGCTTTAATCTGCCAGAGGGGACACTGAGATGAGCTCTTGGGCAGAAGTTCTTCCCTGTGAGGGTGCTGAGGCGCTGGCACAGGGTGCCCAGAGAAGCTGTGGCTGCCCCATCCCTGGCAGTGTTCAAGGCCAGGTTGGACACAGGGGCTTGGAGCAACCTGGTCACTTTGATGTATAAAGCAGAATTACCCCAAGAAGACCCCAGGACCAGCCCTACAGTACAACCTCTCCCTGTGCTCCAGGAATTTTCCTCTTGGAAAACTCTAGGCTGTGGCACAGGCAGGGGCTGAGCTCGTTTGTCGCAGTATTTTTAGACTCTGGCTCAGGGGAGAATCTGTTGATATAAACAGTGTGAGTGGCAAGGACCTTTTTTCAGGGACTGAATGGAGGGGGAAGAGACAGAGGAGCTTTATTTCCCTTCACGTCACCAAGAGCTCAGGTCTGGCCTCATCTCTGGTGGAGGAAGGAAACCTGCTCTTGCGGGACACTCTTCCAGCAGAGACCCAGCCTGCCGGGGAGGCCCAAGCCAGCAGCGTTGTGCAGGAAGGGAAACCAACAAGGTGGTTTCTCGAGGCATCTCTTCTCCCCTCTCCCACCTTCCCAACAGTATCAGGTCAGAAGTGTCCACATTAAAACACATTAGGTCCCAGTATTCCCAAAGCAGCAGCAACATCAGGGCAGTCTAAGCCAAGCGAGTCAGGCGGAGGGCTGTTCTTCCTTCAAGTGCCTGTTCCGCCGCTCCATCTTCTTCTGCAGTTTCCTCTTCAGCTGCAGCTGCTTCCTCTTCTGCAGGACCTGCTGCACCTTCTCACGGCACTGCTTGTTCTTCTTCCTGATCTTGGCTAGCTCTGCCTTCCTTTTGGCCTCCAGATCTGGATCCTGCAATGGCAAATGCCAGGACACGGTGACATGCCCAGGGACAGTGCCAGCCCCTTTGCCTCTCCTAGAAGCCCATGACCAAGTAGGCTGCACAAGTCTGACACGACTCCAGTGCACTTTTTAGTATCAGTCACTTTTTAAGATAAAGCTTCACCACCCTGAAGGTGAGGCAGAGACACCACAGCAGTGAGGGAGGAACTCCCATCCAGAGTAGTGTCCCAGCTACTGAGCACAGCAGTTTATACAGCAGCAACTCTCACCTTCCCCTCAAGGATCATTTGTTTCCGCTTATTTATTTCTTTCTTCTCATCAAAGTCCATTCCCTCCAGTTCCTGTCAAAGCACAAACACAGGAGGGCGATCAGTAACCAAGCACCAAATCTGCCATGGAGCTGTGCAGGGTGAGCAGCACCTTGCTGCTGTGCACACATCTGGCAGCCCCCAAAGCACCAGCCTCAGCACTCAGCAGCACAAAAATGCTGCAAAAATGTACAATAATAGACCCAACTTAGGGAAAATAACTAAAACAACCCCCCACGTGCACACAGCCAAGTGCTTCCACTAGAAAAAGGAACACCAACTCTTAGTTATGTGCTCAAGAGCAAAGCTGCAAAGCCAGAGCCCCACGTTAGGCTGTGATGAATCTCCCGGCTGCCCAAGCTCTCCAGTCCTCTGAACACAGGAGCTTCATGTTTGCACACTTACTATTTCACACTCCCTCCTGGTGACGTTCACTTGGGTGAGGATGTCGAGCACAGACCTCTCCTCCACAGAGAACTCCTGCAGCTTCAGCTCTGGATCAGGGTGAGACATTACAGACCATGGTTGGGTACAAAATCCAACTAGGAAAAAACCCACTCTAGCTGCACTGATTATTGGTGGGATTGTTGGCACACACTATGATCACTGACTTCTTCAGCCTTACAACAAAGGATCACATCCTTCCCTCTGCCTACAGTTTCCCATGGCACAAGGTGTTGCATTTATTAGGTCTCCTTCCTCGAGAACTATGGAGCCTGAAGCTACGAAAAGCATGGATCCTTTTTGTCCACATCAACATTCACAGTAGCAAGGGAGGAAGGAAGAAGCTGGCTGCTTTAATAACAAGGTTACAGAGAAAGTCCAGCCACTGTTTTTCCTCCACTAGGAACAGCAGGAAGACAAACCTATTCGTGCCTGACACACTCAAGAGCAGAATCAAAGGTGATGCTCCTGCTCTTTTCCCAGCCTTAGCCACACAGGGAAGAGAAACTATTTTCACACTGATGCTCTGGATCATTCTGCACAGATGAAATCAGCGCTGCAAGCACCGTGAGCACAAAGGAACATACCCAATCCCAAATTTTAGGAGCACTAATGGTGCTCTACTTACTGATTTCTTCCTCTATAGCATGCACGAGGTGGATGTCGTACTGTGTCACCAGGGTGATGGCCATTCCTTTCCGACCTGCACAGTGCAAACACAGTGAGATAAGAACAGGTGAGCAGGGGGAGATGAAGCCTAACCCATGCCAAATTCCACCATCCCCAGGAGTCTGCCCTGGCACAGTCTGCTCATGGGGCACTCAGAAGGGTCTCTATTTGCTCTGCAAATTCAGCTGGCTACCAGTGCAGAGCAGCCACCAGCCAGCACCGCAGCGCTAAGGCAGGATGCTGAGCCAGGGCTCGGAGCAGACCTGGCACTGACTGACCAGACTGCACTGCTGCTGCACGGCTGCCTCCTGCAGCCGGTGCAGGCTCAGCCCAGCACTGGGAGCCCAGTTTCAGGCAGCAAAGGGCACTCAGCTTTCCCTCCTCACCTGCACGGGCTGTCCGGCCAACACGGTGGATGTAGATCTTGGGCAGGCCAGGAGTGTTGTGGTTGATGACAACCTGGACTGCAGGAATGTCCAAACCTCTGCAGCACGGGAGGAGAACAGAAGTGGGGAAAGGCTGTTTTAACACAGGCAGTTTGAATTCCTGTCCTCTGCTCTCTCCCCGAGCCCCATATTCTCATGGATGTCATCTTTCCTGGCTCGTTCTAGGACAAACTCCTCATGCAGCTCTGCAACAGTAACAGAACACAGCACCACCTCAGAGCCCACTGTTCCCTCCTAGACTCAGAGATCATACTGAGCCTCACAGAAATCATTCTCCTGCTAGAACACACCTCCCCACTGCAGCAAAACCAGCCAGGATCAGAGCTACTGTGCCCACGAGTAGGCTCCAACACACAGCTCAGAGATTTCCTACAACCCTGTCCTACCCAAGCGGGGGATTTTACAGCTCTCCACGTGCTAACCCCAGGCAAACCTCCACAGTAGTTCTGGCACTTAAAAAGCAGGCTTAAGACCTCTGGCAACAGGGACCGTGGTTTTCCCTTACCTGGCAGCAACGTCAGTGGCAATGAGAATCTTGAAGATGCTGGACTTGAACTTTGCTAAAGCCGCAAATCGCTGCCGCTGTAAAGAGAAGAGTCCGCATGAGGGACACTGTGACCCAGGAGGACTTGAACATCCCTCTCCCAGATCTGTCCACCACCCACCTGTTTCATCATGGAATGCAGAGCTACAGAAGGGAAGTTGTATTTCCTGAGCATCATGTTCAGGACCTGGCAGTCCCTTGAAGGAAAAACAAGTAAAAGAATCAGAACGTCCCAGGGAAATGTGGAGCTGCTGGAGCAGGACAGAGCTGGGCTCCTTCAGAAGCCCTCACACAAATTGCCACCACAGTCAGATGTTGCAGCACTGTGACAGAGGTAGGGAAGAGGACCCCCACTCCACACCCGCTCACCCCGGGGAGTGTGACTGGTTTCCCCTTGCACTCAGGGGATTGTCACCAGCTCCAGGGCTCCATCCCAGTCACCTGGACCACCCAAAGGAAGGGAGCAGCAGCACTGGGATGCAGACAGGGCCATTTGCCCCATCCCTTTCCCAGTATCCATCAGCAGGAGGAAAAGAAAACGCAGGGAGGTAAAGCAGCTTGACCTTCTGGCACGCTACTTGTCTGGGTGGTGCTTCAGCCCCAGACTGCTCAAAGGAAAAAGTGTTTCTCTACCAAACAGACTATGGAAGCAAACACCATCCCAGCCTAACGCCCAGCACAGCACAGGCTTGGAGTCTCAAAGAGAAATGTCCACATTGAGAGTGCTCACAAGGAACAAGGCCACTCACTTGCAGGTTTTAGTGAAGATAATGATAGACCAGTCCTCGTGCTCGTCCTGGAAGGTCTGGACCAAGTGGACGAGATACGCGTCCTTCACCGCCTCGGGTACGAGCAGGTACCGCTGGTCCAGCTCCTCCACCGTCCGCACCCTGGAGGGGAAGCACCAGCAGCAGCGGTTGGGCAAGTGAGGATGGAACACGAGGGGCACTGAGGAGACAAGGCAGCAGAGAGGAAACAGGATTCTGGGTCCGCGCAGCAGCGAGGCTGAAGACTTACTCGGACACGGCCTCCCAGAAGAAGGGTCTGTTGGCAGCCAGGCTCTTCAGCTCCTTCAGCGTGTCGGTGAGCGTGGCACTGAACAGCAGCGTCTGTCTGCGTGCTGGGACGGCCTCCAGGATCACCTCCAGGTCTGCAGTGAAGTCAGCACAGCCCTGCTCCAACAGCCGGAGGCAGCGCCCAAACCCCTGAGCTCCTCCCCACATACAGCTGAGAAGGCACAAGCCTGCAAAGCACAGAAACCCTGCCCGCAAACTGCCTTACCAAGAACTTGAGCTTCTTCAGGCTGAAGGTGTTGGAGCTGCGGAGGTGATCTGCCAGCCTGCCGGGCGTAGCGATGACAACGTGGGGCTTACGGGAGAGCTCCTGCGCTTGCGCCACCATGTCTGCAAGGAGACCCACACCGGGGACCGTGGGAAACGTCACCCTCCTTATCCCCCCCAGGCTCTGCTGCCCTGGGTGCCAGATGGCGGCTGCTCCGCGTGCGGACAACGAACCGTGCGGGAGG